ATATTATATTATATTATATTATATAATATTATATTATATTATATTATATTATATTATATTACATTATATATCTGTCATAAAAATTAGTGGGTCATGTTGTCCAAATAGTGACCCACTTTCCATACGCTCTATTGCCTGACATTATTTACTGGGTCAGGATGACCCACACAATGGCAAAAAGTGCATCGCTTTTAAATCAACGACCCGCCTGTTTATCTCATGAGTGCTACATTTGCTATTAATTAATAAATGGAAATAATTATATCATTAATTGAAAAAATTCGCGCGTGCCACGTACAATACGCAAATAATTATTAATAAAATGATATGAATTATATCATTAATTAAAAGAATTCACATGAGCCACATAAAATACGCGATTAATAATTAATGAAAAAATTAATTATATAAATAATTTATTAAATTCGCATCTGCCACATCAAACACGCGATTAATAATTAATGAAATTAAATTAATTATATAATGCTATAATAATTTATAATATATTTATTCTCGCGTAAATTAATTATTAATAAAATAAATAAATATATATTTGAAGCAAGAAGCCTCCCCCATTAAAACTGAAGCTTCCTGTTTGTTTATACATGGGTGAGAGATGGACGCCGAGGCGCGTTAATTCAACGCGCTTATAGTTTAATGAAAAAACGTGTCAAAACATGACTCGTTTCATCTACTAGTAGCGCTTTATTACACACAAAGATATGTGTGAGTCATCGTCCGTTGAGTGATGTGTTTTTAGCGCATTTTCTCATTTGTGGGAAAAATGCACTATTGTGCTCGCCATGTCCGTCCGTCCGTCTGTCTGTCCGTCTGTCTTTCCGTCCGTGACTTCACGTTTTCGTCGACGAGAAAACGCGCTCTCTGTCACTCACTGCTGTGAGTACTGAGTTATATTTTTGGCATTTGTATGGGTCAAATTGACCCATTTTATGCCAGAAAAAAAGCGTATACATGCGTGCACTTGCTCGGGCGGTAGACAATAAAGTGCATAACTATTTGGACAAGATACCTCATACATTTTTCTGAGAATACGCTACATTACATGGAAATTTTGAGTTTAACTTTCATAAGATATACAGATATTTATTAATTGTCTTTTAATTCTTAAATTATATTCGCAATTATTATTACTGTTACTAGTATTATAATTACTTATTAATATAAATTAAAGCATTATTTAAACATAGCTTTTATATTTAATTTTTCTGAAGAGATCTTTTGTCCACAAAAAAGTTATATTTATGAATTACCTGTCTCATCGTCGCAATAATTTCAATATGCAACTTAGGATTGCTATAAAATAAAATATTAATTCTTATTATTTACATAGAATTATATCATCCATTGATTCAATTATCCACATACCTACTAAATTAACTAATTACTCTAATAATTAAAAAAAACTATAACGAAATCACGAGCATTTATCCACTAGTGGAAATATAATTTATCCATTAATACATTATAATATTTTATCCATCATTATAAGAATAAATATTCCGAATTATTTTCTATAATTTCAATATAATAATAAATATTTTAATCTCCTACAGAGTTTTAATTTTTATAATGTGCTTTTGAAGAGTAATTTAAATTTGATAATTGATTGTTAATAAATCAAATTAATCATTTAATTAACATTTAAAATGAAATCACTTAAATCATTTAGTTAATTAAGATTTAATTATTGTTTAAATTAAAATTTGTAGAAGCATTTAATTAAGATTTAATTATTGAACAAAAACAGCAACTCTGCAGCCGGTGCGAGCGCTGCGACGTCTGGACCCTTGCCAGCCTATGTCGACACACGCGTCATGCTCATGTCGACATAATTGTCATGTTGACGGAGATATCATGTCGATACAGATAACATGTCGATATATATAACATGTCGACATAGATAACATGTCGACATAGATAACATGCCGACATAGATAACATAACGATATAGATAACATGTAGACATAGATAACATGTCGACCTAGATAACATGTCGACATAGATAATATAACGATATAGATAACATAACGATATAGATAACATAACGATATAGATAACATGTCGACATAGATAACATATCTACATAGATAACATAACGATATAGATAACATGTCGACATAGATAACATGTCGACATAGATAACATGTCGACATAGATAACATATCTACATAGATAACATAACGATATAGATAACATGTCGACATAGAGAACATGTCGACATAGATTACATATCTACATAGATAACATAACGATATGGATAACATGACGACATAGATAACATGTCGACATAGAAAACATGTCGACATATGTAACATGTCGACATAAATAACATGTCGACATAGGTAACATGTCGACATAGATAACATGACG